GTTTGTTTTACACATACTTGCATAAAAAAAATCCAATATTAGTTGGTAAAACCATGCACTCGCTTTCCATATTAATTGAAATATATATAAACAACAAATATAGGATCTATATATGTTTCCTTTAAAAATAATATTGCGAATATTCCATATAAAATCACAAAGCTAAGACGTGTTTCAATCTCAATAAATAATTAATATAAATCGTTAATAGTTGTAGTTCTATTTATCAGGACTATCAGTATCGGCCGATCACCTTGACAAGGTATCCGTACTCGGTATTGGCTGATCACGATTACAAGGTATTCGTACTCGGTATCGACTGATCACCATGACAAGGTATCGGCACTCAGTATCGGCCAATCACCATGACAAGGTATCGGTACTGTCTACTGGGAATTTTTACACATGACCCGGTATCAGTACTCGGTATCGACCGATCACCATGACAAGGTATCGGCACTTAGTATTGGCCGATCACCATGACAAGGTATTGGTACTCGGGATTGGCCAATCACCATGACAAAGTATCGTTACTCGGTATTAGCCAATGGCCATGACAAGGTATCGGTACTCGTATCGGCTGATCACCATTACAAGGTATCGATACTCAGTTTCTGCCGATCACCATGATAAGGTATCATTACTCTGTATTAGCCGATCAGCATGACATGGTTCCGGTATTCGGTATCGGCTGCAAAAATCCTGATCGAAACATCCCTATTTTTTACCTTGTATTTTGGCCATAATCAATAGGCTGTAACTGTTAACTGTAACAATTTGGAGAAAAATAAATAAATAAATAAAAAACACTCTTATTAAAAGTTTTCGTTTGTGTTTTGTACTTGTGTGTTAAGTATTAGCTTTGTCTTGTGCATTATCAAAGGTCTTGACAACTGGGAGAGTTAAACATATTGTATTCCTTCAGAATATTGCCATGTTAAAGCAAACATTTCATTACATTAAAGTTTAATCCTCCCATCCACTAAATATTTTGCCATATATCTTTGATGGACAACCAGCTTTTTTGTGGGACTTGAATGAGTTGCAACATGTAATCTTCTTCTCTTGCTGTGACTAAAAGGCTCACTCTTTGGTGTCCATCTGGTTAAGCTGGTTTCAGTGATTTTTAAATGGCTCACTATCTCGAAATACAGTAGTCAATATTTGAAGTGGATCTTCACCTTTGATTCACTTCAAAGGTGGACCATCAAAGTTGTTCTAAAACGTTTGACTACTATAGTTTGTCAGATAATGAAAGAAATTATGGCCTGTTTTCACTGGCTTTCCACTTGTGAAAGAATGGTGTTTAAGGCTCATGCTATGGCCATTTCCACAACTCTTATTGTCTGACTATGTCTAGGGATATTCATGTTTTCGTTATAAGGCACTGCTCTTTTAGGATCACTTCAATTGTAGTATTTTCTCTAGTTTTGATCTCCACTGCATTATGCCACAGACCATTAAATCACCATCTGCTCAAAGCCACTAAAGCGCAGGTTTCAAACCCAAGTCAAAGTTCAGTTTCCCTTTCAAGCTGGCTAATCCTAGACCGGTGCCTCCACACAACTATCAGTAATCCAGCCTTGTCTTTATTACCGCACAGTTGACCTATTTCAGACCATTAAACGTGTTTTAACTCTTTTATGGTCAGCTGCATCTATAGACTGTGCCAGCTGTAGGGATCTAGCCGTGTCTCTTATATCAAAGTCACTCTCTCTGCTTTTATTATTCAATGCTGTCCCTCCAGGACTATCATCTCCTGCTAATCCACAGTGAGTCACGTGGCTTTTGATCTCTCTTAGCGAATCCCCACCTCCCTGTACACACTCATCTCTTTGAAGAGTGACCACAACGGGCCCCGAGAGTGGCTACACTTTATGCTATAGACTGGATTAGTGGCCACCCACTTTTTTAGCAGCTCTGGAGATTTTCTTTTTAAATAGGGATTTTAAAAAGGCTTTGTGTTAAAGCAGTACAAGTCATAAACAAGGCCAACCCGCTAGGAGGAGATCAAGTTTACATACTTTGATTTGAAGCAATGAACTATACACTGCCTGACAAAGGTCTTGTTGTCGATCCCAGTTGTAAGAGCAACAAATAATCACTTGACTTCTGGTTGATCATTTGGAAAAGTGGCAGAAGGTCGATTTTTCAGATGAGTCGTCTATTGAACTGCATCCCAATCATCACAAATACCGCAAAAGACATATTGGAACCTGCATTGACCCAAAAATGTGCCAGATCTGCAGAGTGGATGACAACATCAACAGCCCGAGGTACCAAGATATTTGTGCTGCCCATTGCATTATTGCATTATTTACATTAAACCACAAGAAAGGGGAAATTCTGCAGCAGGATACTTTAGTCTCCATATCAAAGTTCCTTAAAGCAAAGAAGGTCAAGGTGCTCCAGGAATGGCCATCCCAGTCACTAAACATGAACATTATTGAGCATGACTGTAGTAAGATAAGGGAGGAGGCATTAACGATGAATCCAAAGAATGTTGATAAACTCTAGGAGTCATATAAGTCCCTTCTGATACCAAATGATCAACTAGAAGTCAAGTTATTATTTGCTGTTTCTAAAAATTTAATAGACGACTGCAGACTTTTGTCAGGTAATGTATAAGGTTATATATATATATATATATATATATATATATATATATATAGGACTGAATTTTCGACCACGCAAAATACAGAAATGTTGCTGGAAATAAGAGCCAAAAAAGGTTTTGGTGTGCCGCACTTCCCAGCAGACAGTAGCTATGTTTCCATTCATCTATTTTTATGTGCATTTTGGAATATCGCATAAAAAAACTTAATGGAAACAAGCACAAGAGCATTGAACGGACTTGTAGTTACAAAAGTACAAAATAGTTTAATATTCTACTCTGTGAGTATTCGTTTACTTATTTATGCATGCCATGAACTGCTCATGCTCAATGGAAAAGCAAAGTCCACTCAAATGACACACTGATAGGACATTTCTCGACTCACTCGCTGTCAATGAAATATGGTTCATTTATTGGCTTGTGTTTTTTAAAATCAGTAAAATAGAAGTTATTAAGTTAAATTTAAAGTCTTACAAAATAATGTTTTAAATAAAATAATAAATCACTATCACAAAGCATTTTCGGTTAGATTTTCAACCAAGCACATTAAGAATTTTCGGTTTCAGCTCAGAATCTATATTTTGGTGCATCCCTAGAAGTAAATGAAGATTAGATGAAAAAAGCCAAAGGTACAAGTCTTTACAGCTTTAATGAGGGAAATAACTTCAGGTTTACTAGAACCGGCTTTACTGACAATATGCCCATGACAATCACCCTCAGTTCATCTATCACCCCTATAAGAAACTATATTCTTCAAGCTTTTTTTCAGTGCATGTGTGTTAAACACTTCAGTATGGAAGCCAGAAAATCAAATATGTAACAGGTAATTATGAAAAAAAAATGGTAACTATGAGGAAAATGAATTATACACATATATAAAAGGTTGCAATAATGAAAACGAGAAATGACTATTAAAAATGTATCAAAAACTTGTTTATTTCTTACAAATTTAAGATAAATAGTTGCAGATGTGAGATCTTGTGATGGTTTCCGCCTGGTATTAACATGTTTTTAAAATTCGTTCATTAAATTGTGATGAAAAACCATTTCCACTTGCTATTAACATTCATATTTAAGTGCACCTCCTATGAACACTGATGCCCCTTTCACAGGAGGGTTCAGTGCAGTGGTTATTGAATGGACAAACCCATGTTGAGTGAGTGTAGGATGACAGCTAACATTTCAGTTGTTATATGTTTGTATTTGGCACAATGCAATAATAAATACCTTGCTTGCACCGGCAGAGTCCTTCATTTTGTGTGGGGGGAACCTACCAGTACACCACAAGCTCAAATTTTTTTTAACAAACCTCTACCATATTTTCTACTTTTGAAATTATTTATAGCCTATTTTTTTCTTTAGTGGGACTAGTTTCCCTGGTAGCAAAGAACTCTGGCCCAGATTTGGCAGAAAATTGTCATAGCAGGTATTCATCCTTGGAACTACCTCACAATACTACCAATGATGTGTGAGAATCCTTCCAATAAAGGCTGTTTCTGACATGACATTGGCTTTATAGTGCAATAATACATAGAATTTGTCAGCTCTTTTAAAAGATATAAACCTTATGAAGCCCTATTGGCATTGAAACGATGTGATGCATGAACACACAGTACAGTATATGGGGCATTTCGTATATGAGACATTTCACTGCTCTGGCTGTGTCTGGAATGCAGCATTAAAGCTTGCATACATGACTAGTAAAGGACCAATAACATCACATGTCAGGATTATTGCATGAGTCTAGAATTGCCTGTCCAATTCAGCCAGTGCCTCAATTTCTGTGTCAGTATTAATGACATACATATGCAAGAATCAGAGTTGGAGACCTCCACGCTTTTAGTTGTGGGTGTATTAAAAAGTTGACAAATGTATCAATTTTTTTTCTGACTAAAGTAGGAATCGGGACAGAACGAGAAGAGATTCTACATGATACTTTGAGATTTGTGAGAGTATGTATGAAAAAAAAACATGAATTAATAATTGTTTGGCCTAAATGTACACATTAAAATAAAATAATGCAAATAAAATGAGGCAGTGTGTACATACAATGACAACATCAGTTGGCTCTGCTCCCCCTAAACTCCACCTGTGCTTGTTTTAGGTGCACTTTCCCACAATACATCCCATAACAATCCTGTGTTTGGTTAGCAGGCAGAGAGCAGGTGGTCTTTTGTGACTTTCTGAAATGCTTTTAACCACATGAGAGTTTACACTCTAAAAACAAATCTAATCAAATGCGTTTTCCACCTCTGGAAGTGGTCGAGATTGGACAAGATCAAAATGTTTTAGCTCCTGTTTACGGCTGTATTTAATATTAAAAGATGTGTTTCATACGTCAAAGTGAACCTTCGATTTCAATAAAATCTCACTTCCTCATTTCTAGGAAACGGAACCATAGATTTCCCAGAGTTCCTGACGATGATGGCCAGGAAAATGAAGGACACAGACAGCGAGGAGGAGATCCGCGAAGCCTTTCGGGTATTTGACAAGGTATGCTTTGAGCTCTAACAGCTTATGTGTTCTTTGCGTTTATTCTGTTTTGCTAGTCAAACTTCAGAGTAGACTGATGCTTTCCTTGCTGTTCCATTGGCTGACGTTTGCTGTTTCTCTGCAGGATGGTAATGGCTACATCAGCGCTGCAGAGCTGCGTCACGTAATGACAAACCTGGGCGAGAAACTGACAGATGAGGAGGTGGACGAGATGATCAGAGAAGCCGACATTGACGGAGATGGACAAGTGAACTATGAAGGTCAGTTGCTCACTGCGTTTCCTCAAACATTCATTTTTACTTATATGCTAATACTATATTTGGGAGTTATATCTAAAGCTATTGCACATTAACTTTTGTATGGTTTAGACTAAAATAGAAATGCTACAAATCATTATTTTTTCAATCTCTGACTCATTGGCCTCATTTTTATGAAGAACATAAATGTTTAATAATCACATACTGTACACCCCTCTTACATTTACATTATAGGGAGGATGTTCAAGTCCACTAGACCCATGATTAAAGTATAGAAATTGTAGGTCCTATGTAGGGCTATACATGCACCAAGTGTGAAACGTACAAATGTTACACGGTAAAACTCTGCCTTTTGTGTGGTGTACAGGCTGGCATGAAACGGCAATGTGTTCAATGGGGCTGATAGTGCAAAAATATAGTAGCATAATTATCAACCTTATTAGATAAATGTTATTTAATAAAGGTAAATTGAAAATATTAACCATGAATGCTGTTTATATTGCTTTTAACTGGGATGACGTTAACGTCTGTTGAGTATTTTAACATAAAATGTAAGAAAAAAAAAGCCAAAAATGGAGCGGGTAGGCCAGTCCCATGAACAGTTACATAAATATGTACACCATACAAGGGTTAATATTAGTGTTGTCAAATGATTAACCACGATTAACCGTGTCTGAAATACAAGGCATGGGTTTCCTCAGGGTGCTTCAGTTTCCCCCACAGTTCAAAGACATGCGGTACAGGTGAATAGAATAAACTAAATTGGCCGTAGTGTATTGAGTGTGAATGCAAGATTGTATGGGTGTTCCCCAGGTTTCCCAGTAATGGATTGCGGCTGGAAGGACGTCATAAAACATATGCTGGATTATATATTATATGGTGACGCAGTGGCACAGTAAGTAGTGCTGTCGCTTCACAGCAAGAAGGTCGCTGGTTCGTGCCTCGGCTAGGTCAGTTGGCATTTCTGTGTGGAGTTTGCATGTTCTCCCTGCATTTGCGTGGGTTTCCTCCGGATGCTCCGGTTTCCCCCACAGTCCAAAGACATGTGGTAGGGGTGAATTGGGTTGGCTAAATTGTCCGTAGTGTAGGAGTGTGTGTTTGAATAAGTGTGTGTGGATGTTTCCCAGAGATGGGTTGCGGCTGAAGGGCATCCGCTGCGTAAAAACGTACTGGATAAGTTTTTGGTTCATTCCGCCCACATATTATGCAAAAACAAACTTATATCTTGGATTTGATTAATCGTTTGACAGCGCTGGTTATATATTTTTCACTGATACGCTGATATTTTTTGATCTCAGATTGGTCGATAATAACTAAGGCAGTGTGTGTCAGTGCTCAAAGGCCACTGTACACATCCGTACATTTTCTCCCTGTCAATTTTTAGAACTCCATGCACACATGTGAGTTATTACAAATGCATGATCAACTCATCATATGAGAGAGTCAAATTAGCATAGCTAAATGTTTACATTTACATACAATAACATGGTTACTGCAGGTCTTAAAATGTGTTATATCATTGCACAATTAAAGGCCTAAAACTGTCTTCAATGAAAGCAGAACATGTTAAATTGATTAAAGTAAATATTGCATGCACTGTTGAGTGAATGTTTATTTTATTAATGTGTTCCAAATATCTACACAACTTTAAATCAAGATACATTTACTTGAGATGCAATATAAAGTCTTGTTTTCAAACAAAGTAAACAAAAGTACTATAATTATTTATGCCAAGAAATAAGAACAAATGTATTTTAATGGCAGTTTTACAGTTTGATTCTTTAAAAAAAATGTAGGCCAAGTGACTAGAGCTTTACGATATTGGAAAAGCAAGATAGTTGAATAGCACAATTTGGCGGTTTACTGTGGAGTCTAACAAAACTCAGCTACTAAAATTGATTGATAACAATAAAAAAAAAATGCTTTTCTTAGTTTGATTTGTCTCATTTTTAGTCCATATATATATATATATATATATATATATATATATATATATTAGATCAGTTAAAAGTATTGTATTGTTTAAAAAGTTGTTGACAATTTTGTTTTCAATTTGAAATGTAGATATTTGGATTAGAAACAAAGACATATTAATATAAGAATTTTTTTTTGCATAAATTGTATTAATTCCATATAAATACAGTGATTAATTACAATTCTGTAGCACTTGGTCAACAATAATCCAGACATAACGTTGCAAATCTTTGCGATGTGACTATTGCAATATCAATGCTGAAATTGATATTGTGCAGCCCTATTATGGACCGATATCTTGTTTTGTTCATCAACCATCAACACACTCCATTTCACAAAAAAAAAAAAAACTTTGGTCAATTTCTATTCTAAAAACTTGATAGTTGCTCTGGAAAATGTCAAAACACTAATAAACAACACTGTTTAATCCAGTATTCCAATTATTCTAGTTATAATCCTTTATTTGCATTGAATATTTGTGCGTTCTATTTTTACATTGTCTTTTAAAAGTCTCCAAAATCTGAAAATGCATCTTAAGCCTTAAAACCTGCAGAAACTCTGCACTGAGAACAAAAGATTTTCATGACATTTGTTTCCTGATGATTCCAGACTTTGAATTGGTCTTAATGATGCACTTAGTGAACTGGCCCGTTACTTTATAGTCTCGTTTCTGATGTTTAATTATTCATTTCCATGTTGGAATGACCACAGCATCTTTTAATTTGATCTGCATCGGAAATGGCCCAGAATGCATCACAATAGTTCAAGGCTCATGCGAAAGAGAGCCTTTTTTTGTTTTGCTGAGCTTCTTGATTAGTTGCGTATGAAAGCTATTCGGAAATGGGAAGCTAATTACCGTGCGAATTCCACCTTCACCTTCTTGATTAAAAAATTAATAAACCATTGCACAATTTAGCAGCTGGATGCACAGCATGGCGTTCGGCCAAAAGCAACTGCCTAATCTAATTTTCTCTCCGTCTCTCTCTCCTCTCGCAGAGTTTGTACAGATGATGACCGCAAAGTGAAGCCTCCTCCTTCTGCCGTGCCCTCTTAGAAGAGAAAAAATAATTAAATCAGTCAAATGTTTTACTTACCTCTTGGGAAAAAAAAGTTTATTTATTCATAATGTTTCTGTTTTAAAAATAATTGAATGTTAAAATAAAGTATCCTTCTGTCCACACAGAAATAATGGAAAAATAAATCTAATATCTGCATGAAATGGTTAGTGACCCTGTCCCCAAAAATCAGTTATTCAAGAGAAAAATAACCTGTAACCACCTTTAAACTGAAGAAAAACAGCATTTGGTCAACTCCTTCAGTTGCACCTGCTCCTGATAATGTTTGGGCTGGCCAACCTCCTTCTTTCTCTTTTTTATTATTATTATAATTATCCGATCTTCATGCATGCAGCTTGAGCCCGGAGCTCATTCTCCAGCCAATCAGAGCCTGCCGAGTCCACTGAAGTGTTGTGTCGTGGGGTTTTTGTAATTTGAGAGGAATCACATGTAGAGAGAACGCTTGTAAAACTCAAGTTTCCAGTGGAATGGGGCTTTAAAGTATTGTGGGGGGGATACAAAGTTAAAAATTCAAAAACGAGAAAAAAAAATACAAAAACAAGAAAAGGTCGAACATGTTTGGCATGATTTTATCGTTTCTGATTTGTTGTTTTTTTATTTTTGTCGATCATTTGTTTTTGTTTGTCTTTCTTTCTTTCTGGACGGCCATTTCCTCTGTGGTGGCCGGGATTTGAGGGATGTTTGTGTTTGAGATGAGTGGAGGAGTGTGGCTGAGCCGTCACTTTTCTATCCTCTGTTTATTTACTTCTGACCAGTGAAATCTCCCCTGCGTGGGAGTTTTGCGCTCCACTCTTCAGTTTGCATTCATTCCAAGTTGTACATGCTACTGTTTTAATATTTTCTTCAAATAAAGTGACCATGTACTTTACGACTGCCACTCTGCTCTGTTTTTTCTGGGAAGCCATTTTGTGTCTGTTAAATAGTTGTGTAAATCTGATTTACTTGAAACCCTTAGGACTTGTAATCACAACCCAGGCTCATTCCGATTATGTACCACTATATACATTTCTGGAGAGAGCAAAATATGTCTCAAGAGGTAAGCTTTTTTGCTGTTTTTGTTTTTGCAAATCCACTCTGGCCGCCCTGTACACTTTTTCAGATCTCAAATTTCTCTCGCGAGTGCCATTTGTACATGCTGTTCGACCACCCCCCACACCCCCCCACTTTTTTTTTTATGAAATCTGTCCTGCAGGAACTACAATTAATGGCTCATTTTGTCTACAAGCATTGTTTCCAGTGTTTATGATGCCACAAACTGACTTAAAACTCACTTGGTTTTGGTGGAATTTGAATGGTTGGTGGGTGGGAAGAGGCAAAACAAAAATAATGTTACCTCTGTAATATGTAACTAATCATAAGACATTTCATATTTGGAAGGTGGGTCTTTATCAAACCTTAAACTAATTGAGATATTTGTGCCAGGCTGGGTAGAAAGGTATTTTAATGTAAATTATGTCAAAAAAATTCATTTTTCCAGTATTAGTATTACTGTGATTTGGGAAAGAGAACTTGAAGCGCAGAATCACAGCTTTGATTTAATTTGACAAAATATTTCAGTTTCATCTAAAAATCCTTCCCACCAATTGATAAGCTGCAATGTACGTAGTTCATATCATTTATTATACACCTCTAAAACTTTTTGAATGGAACTTATTTCTTCACCTGTTTGTGCCAAGCCATCGGTAGCTCATGTTCTTTGGGAATGCCTCCTGACCTACAATTATTGGGTTAATATCTCCATTATCTTGTCACAAATTTTGGAACCAACCATTGATCCTGAAGCTTGCCTTTTCCTGTTATATGATGATTCTTCAATAAGCCTGACTTTGAATCAAAATCAGAATCAAAACCTTTTTCTCAGGATTAACAGCTGCAAAGAAAACAATCATCAGTTCCTGGTTCCCTCCTAATCACCTGTCAAATCAGCAAAGGTTATACTATTTTATAGACATTATTTCGACTAGAACAACCCAATGCCTTAATTAACAGAGCAAAGATTTAATTCTTCATTAGAGCCAAATACACGATAATTTGATCTGAAGTGATTTAATATAGTAGAAACGATCAAGATGTCTTTTAATATTTAGGTGACAAACCATTTTTGTTTCTATTTGAGCTGTTTTACAACCATTTTATTAGACGCTCTTTTCATTCATGTACTTCTCTGACATTATGTATATAGTTTTTCCCTCTTGATACTATTAACCATCCTATAAACGTTGAACCAAGTAAATTTTGAGGAATTCTGTCATTACTATTGTTGAGAACCATGTTTACTAAAAACACAAAGATGTTTAAGTAAAAAAGTAATAATTGTGCATTTTTCGAACCACTAAGTATGAAAGCATGTTCTGGTTCACCCCAAACAGAATCAAGACTTTGTAAAAAAGTTAAATAAAAAAAGCCTAATAAACCAATTTAAACACATTTGATTGGCTATTGTGTTCAAGTGCTCTACAGATATGACTGTGATTGGCTCCAATAATCATTGCTTGACTTCCCCAATGGGGTATATGGACATGGACTTTTAATTTTCAGCCAGCCCCAGGGCTTCCAGTGAACTGTCTTTCCATTACAAAATTGACACATTTATGGTCTTATTACTTTAAAAATCAGTAATCTTCACTGTCTGATAGATATACGCTATGAAGTGGGTCTCAGACCGGACAAGGAGGACTGCATTAAATTCCATTTCCCCTGCCATCTCTTTAAAATATGACAATTTATTTCACCCCAGTATATTCAACGGAGTTTCTGTTTTACGCTCTAACAACTTAATAAAGGCTTAAGTCTATTTAACTGAATGTATTGTAATTAAATTACAACATTGATGCTGTTAAAGCAACCTTGTTCAATTGAAAATGTCACATTAGCCTTTTACTGGAAGTTCATCATTGGCTGAAAACTCTAGCTGTGCATTTACCCAATTGATTCACTTAAAACTCATACTTAAAATTATCAAAAAATAATTCAATAAGCATTAGGCTTCTGAATAATTGCTTGCAACTGAAAACAAGTTAAATGTTTTTTGCAGAAGCTTAAAAAAGCTAAATTACATGCTTAAATAAACCTCAATGGTAAGAAGCTCAAATGTGTGGTGTGACGTGAAAATCAGTACATTTAAAAATGCATGCTTCCTTTCTACACTATAAAAAATATAGGCTTCCACACAATTCCTTCATGTTGTCCCAACAGAATTACAAACACGATTAATTAACTTAAGTGTTTTTACAAACAATCCTCCAAAAACTCAAGAATAGTGTTAATTTAAAGCTTATTTTAAATTAGTCTGAACTAGCAGCAAATTGAGTTTATAGTATGTGATTAACCGTATATGTACAAATTCATACACTTTAGAAAATTCTAGATTTTCACGTTACTGTAATTTTTCATAATAAATTACATTAGTATCACTTTACAGGTTTTAATGCAAAGTCAATCAAATTAGCATGTTTACAGCAAATCACTGTAAAAAGGGCTAATATTTTTTGCATGTTAGTTGTAGGAATTCAAACTCTTTATTTCATTCAACATAGACATTGATACAAATAAACTTTTATACTAGTATTGGCATTTGTTTTGATATTTAGATATTTAGAATATTGCAGCCCTAAAAAAAATTTGGAAGGAAAATCCTGTTTTTAAATGACATGAATGTGTATATTTTCATTTTTGGGTGCACTGCACCTTTATTTAATTTTATAAGGTTAACATGGGAATATGAAATAATATTTAGTGAACTTTGTGCTACGCCAAAAACTTAATAAAACGGAACAAAAGTAATTGATTCATAAAACTAAACACTGTTAAACACCCAAAATGAATTTAAGCTTAAGTTTTTTACAGTGTAGTTTTTGGGAAAAAAAAACAGATGCAAATTATCTGGAGGAATGGACACTTTACTATCCCATGAGGCCATGCAAGAGAACAAACTGTAGGTCATGGGATAAATACAGAAATTCAAAGGTACATTGGAATTACATTTATACTAAACAGAATGTGCTTTTCAAATGATTGTAAGCTTAAATTCAAATGTAGTACCTACACCAGTAGTAGCACGTGGGATCATTGGTTCATGCTGAAGCTCAAACATGCCACATGACTCTTGAGAATGACATGTAATTTAATCTGTACGGCGCGTACATGACAGATTAAAGTATCGCACACCAGACGCGCACATTCGAATGATATTTAACATGAAACTAATCAGATGGCGCTCTGTGGCGCGGCTGAAAAATGAACTGCGTCCTGAGCCGTCGCCGGGCGCCGCCGACAGCCGTCGACTTGCGGCGCCGGTGTGTGTATCCTGATAGAAACCTATGATTAGAATTCTAAAATACATGGCGCTGCGCGGCGCGCCGCCGAGCGTCGCTTCTGGTGTGCGACCTGCTTTACCGGTTCTTTCAGAAGCTCAAGTATCTGTGATGTAAGAATGACTCTGATTGGTTCTTGCTCAGACAAAATGCGTGACATGCAAGAAAATGACAAACAAACACACTTTAGCTTATGTTTTCTCATTGTTGATGTTCATATGTGACTAAAAGCATCAATCAAATCATAGAAAACATTAATGCACTGTAAACACTTTCCTGTAGAATCTACAGTAACTTGCTGTAAATCAATTCGAGCAAAAATACAGCATTTACATTTATAGCACTTTTTATTTTCCTATATGCAATATATTACAGTGTCTTTACTGTAAAGTATACAGTCATTTTCACATTACAACTTTAAAATACAGTAATATACTGCATAATTGTTCTACTGCAAAATACAGTTTATTTACAGTTAAATATGTTAAAAATGTTAAATGTTAAAAATGTGTCATTTACAAAAATTGTTTGCTCTGTAAAACTTCCACTGCTTGATTCTTATAGATTAATATTTAGAGTTTTGTGTGAAGAGACACTCAATGGACAGAAATCCTAGATTTGATTAGAAATGTCTTCATTTGTGTTCTAAAAATCATGTATCTGACACAAGTGTGATTAAATGATGACAGCGGATTTATTTCGAAGTGTACCAACTGCTTATCGGCTCTGGGTTTGCATGAATTCTTAGTCTCTGACATTCATCAAGCTGGAGCTCAAACTGATCAGTTTCAGCATCAGACCACCCGTGTTCAGCTAAATTACAGCTTCCTGTTGAGTCGAAGACATCAAACATTTAATAACCCAATCATCCGAGTTTTCTACAGTGTCTTTTTACACCTCAGTTCATTTGTTAGTATATTTATAAGACAAGACATAAAAATTAAGTGTCTTCATTGAAGTCAGTTAAAAAAAATGGATTTAATATATGAACAGAATGTTCTAATGTGTAAATAAATGTGAAAATGTGGGTAAAACAATATCATAATTCAACATATATTTCTATAAAAATGAAACAACATACCTATTCTAACCTCTACTTATTGATATACATAAAAAAATTTATACTACGAATAATATATTTTATTATTCTTTTGCTAACAAATTAGTAAAACCTAATGTTTGAAGGACCGTGGCAAAGTATAAAGCATTAAAAAAGCATTAAAATAAATAATTATTAAATAATTTTGATACTGCACTTTCATGCTTAAATAGAGTTGGGCTTTTTTTTTTTTTGAAGGGGACTTCATTTTGGTGGCACTTTAATGACACATTTGGACCTATCAACTTCCCTTATTAATGAAAGCTTCTGCAAGAATTGTTTTGTTTTGTTACCTAAACTACTGCTACATTAAATTACATTTTACTGGGTGTCTTCGGTAAATCATGGTAAAAGTGTATGACAGAAATAATAACAGCACACTGCAATCTCCAGTTGTGTTTCACTTTTATTGTTGGATGCTTTGACCTGCATAACACCGGACCTATCTCATACACA